TGCCAAACTAAATACAACAGTACAAAAATACACTTTCATTCCAGCTGTAAACAAAGTTGAATAAGCTGAGTCAAGGATGGCAAGCAGCAAGCCCTTCTACAAAGGTCAGAAGAAAAATTGATCATAAATAAAAATGTCAGCCAAAGTACTTAAGACAGATGATAACCTAGAAGTAAATAAACCAAATGTATAGTGTAATGCATAAATGATCAAATAGCAATAAAGGTTTCTGTTTCTGGTGCATTCCTCGAAATATCTGCTATAGATCAAAACCATGAATACCATATTATAGCTTCGGGCCTAATCAGAAGATAATTAACACTGTACAGGACCCTGAAATAAATAGCAGATATATGTGATGCATGAAATGTTCCTTCACTGATAACAAATACACAAGATCTGTAGTTTAGTTTTAGTTGGTCATCAATGGTGAATGTGTGTGTGTGTGTGTGAGAGAGAGAGAGAGAGAGAGAGAGAGAGAGAGAGAGAATGGACACATGCTTGAGTGCAGAATAACCACCGTTAAATTTGTGCAGGAAGTGTGAAACAGCTAATTAGACCAAACAGAATGCCAGTTGGCAAACACCTTTTCCAGGCCATATTCAAAATATTTGTCTTGGATCTGCAGTTTCTAGGCCATATATTAAATATGTTCTGTTCAGTATCAGGATCCGTCTCAATCAAGACACACACTTTCCTGTTTTTGTGCATTGTGAACCGACAGCTGATATGTCTTGTCTACAAAGTGAACATCTTCAAGTGAAGTCAGTGTTACTCAACAAGCTACTTATGCGGTAGTCATTGTTCAAAGGTGATGACTTTCAGATGTCATGCATTAATAGCACAGTTCATCCATAAAATTGAAATTTAGATTTGTATGTGACCTTTCCCTCACACCTTCATCACCTCTGTAAGAAACAACACATCATGACAGCGTATTTCATCAATGATGATCACTTGATGTCAACTGTGACAGACAGATTTAACTGAAGGGGGAGGGTCAGGTTAAGGAGATTCTGATTTTTATGGCTATTAAGTTCCCACTAATTATATTTGGTAATTTGGTATCCAGGAAGAGACTAATAATGCACCCAACGACTTGGCAATTCACTTTACACAGAGGTGAATCCTGCAGTGAATCAGCCAAGTGTATGAAATATTGATTTTGATGGATATCCCAATTGTCATTGATCATCAGAAGTGGATCCGTGATTAGTTCCCATAAAGTCCCTCTCAGCTTGAATTTTATATTGTCCCCTCTCCCCCTTTACCTCACCCCTAGCCCCAATCAAAACAACATTGACAGAAAATTCTTGGCAAGATGACAGATAAAAGATTTTGTTGTTGAAAAATTTATTTCATCATAGCACAGGATTTATTAACGGTATTTGTTATTTTCAAAACAGAGAAAACAATATGTAATATTTCCTTTTTTGCTGGCAGCCATTTGTTTCTTTGAAAGCAAATTATTTCTAAGAATGCATGATAAGAAGAATGTCATTCCATGGTAACAGGTAGTACCTTGTACATAGGCCTAGAACTCCCAGAAGACTGGATAGCTGCAGAGATTTCTGGTGCAGACAGAATTTAGTGTTCAAGTCAGTAAACTGCTGTCAGCTTCAAGTTTCCTCTCTTTACTTCCTTGCCTCAGAACAGTTCCTGGAATTATCAGTCTCTGAGTAAACACAAGCCTGATCAAGTTTTCTGAGTACTTTCTCTCTCGAGATCAATGGTCTATCAAATACAATAAAGTAGGTTGGTATGTACAATAAATTATCCTGCATGCAAACTGGCATGAAATATTTCTGAGAATGTCTTCGGCATAATACAAGTGACTGTTGCTGAATGTACTTAGTATTATAGCCCAGATGTAAATTCACTGCTACTAAATACTGTGCCAAAAGGTATTCAACAGTAAGTAATGATATTCTGACCATCAGTTATTAAATCTCTTAAAACACACTAGGTTTTCAGGTAAATCAGGTTGAGTGGGTTGAGTGAGGTATAAAAAGCAGTAAGCTAAGGACTACGTTGATGGGATCTATTTAGCTTTAAGTTTAAGGTCAGTTGATAAAATATCCCAATAATACAGAGGGCTTGAGCAACAACATGTTGGATTCCTGAGAATTGCTGAGAAATCTTACTCTTATGACCTAATGAATACGCTACTTTTCTTAGACTGTAATTCCTGTGAATTCTATTTTCAAGTTAGCCTAAGCTCAGAATACCAAGGAAACGTGGGGTGAGGTGAGGTGAAAGAGCTAGTACTTGGATTTTCAGGTGAAGGCATTTCTCTCTTGTAAGTGACTGCTATCTAGAGCCTCTGTTATGTTTACAAGGAGAGACAATGTCCCGCTGCTTCGGTCAATATTGGTTTATTTCAAAAACGAGTAAATCAACTCGTCAATATCTGCTTGCTTTAACTTCAGCACATATTACCGGGTGAACTGGGGTAAAACAATATGCGGGCATGTCCTTGCAAAGGACTGCTGTTTTTAATACTTTGAGCAAATAATCTTCACTGTGCACTCAGTAACATACATGGAAAAGAATCCACGTCATTGAAAAACACTTTTAAACAAACCAATCTTTCTTGTGGGTTCTGTAAAGAATATCCTGTTGAAATCAAGATTAATCTAATCACACTTAAATAAGAAGTATGGCTAAGTGATTTGTTTTTACTATTAAATTTCTTCAAAATGTAAAGCAGCTACAAATATATGCAACATTTTTTGAATGGGGATTATAAACCACAAGCCCAATACAATATTGTTTTCTAATAAATTTTCATGTAGCTGATGAAATATCAAGAGTGCACTTGTAAAGAAGGCACAGACAATCAAACAGTCGACATTGACATGGAAATTGGAGGCAGACAAACAACCTCCACAGATGACAATAATTCAGAGCACGAGCTTAACTGGTGGGGCGCTCACTTCTAATTCCACCCTCCTTTCTCCTCCACATCAAAGAGGAGTTGTTTTGCCAGCCTATCTATGCAATGTCTATACAGGGTCATTCAGGTGTGATAGACCCTGCACGTGCCATAAAGAATACCACACAATTGCATCCAATTCTAAAATACTTCAAAAGAAAATGGATAAGGTTTGCCCCAAAGGCATAGTTATAATAAAAGGGCTATTAGATCTGAGACTTAATCTCTTCTTTAAGCGAAGTGCTAATAAAATAATTCAGAGGTGAACCAAAGACAGAGGGATTAAAGACCCCAAAATATACAATGGAACCCATGGTTCACTAAAATAAGGACCCAAAATAGCAATCGGAATTGGGGTGGGTCAATGTCTACAAACTTGTAACAACTACAATTTTTTTTCTCCAGGAATTCCTGAACTACAAATCTTGAAAAAAAAAATATGTCATGAATTATGGATAAAATCCAGATGCATAAAATTTCATTCGAATTTAAACTTTATCTTCCAAAATTTGGTACAGATAACATGGACATGAATGACACATTGAAACTGGTAACAAAAGCACCATAAAAATACATCATCGAAGAGGATGTCAGAATGATCACTGCTATAAGTAATAGCAGAAATCTTGCAAAAATGCTTTCAGAATCTATAGATATGGGCATCAGTTTCAATACTTTGAAATAAGCATAATTTTTGTTTTTATTGTGCAAACTGGATTCCTAAGGGTACAGCACAGGAAAGATATTATTAACTTCTGACAGAAACCAAAGATATCTTATTGTAATGAAACCTGGCTCAACTATGATTCAATATTTAAACTTGACAGTGTTCTTTATGTCTGAAAATATGGTTCCCCATCGAGGAACAGATTGAATGTTATACTAGAACTCAGCAAACTGCACTTTTTCCCAATCATCATTATTCTTGTTTGAATTGCTTCTAAATCTGCTCAGACCCCTATACTGTGAAAATCTCATTTGGAGATTGCTGTGAAGGGCAGTAAGGGTCGTGGAGAGACTAATGGAGCTTGATCAAAAAGACAAGGTCTCAGATTTGAGGTGTGATCAAATGTACTGTGTGCTCTCTGATTTCATGAAATATTGATGACAGTGTGCAGAGTCAAAAGTTGAATTTGTCAAGATAGGTTTCAGCTTCAGTGCTTTAAAATGGTAGGTCAGGGATTATATTTAATCCACAATGATCAAAAGCTATGAACCATAAGTATCATTCAGATTAATAAAGTCCATGACCTAGGTTAGGTAATGTTAAGTGAATGTCAGTGAAGTTGCTAAGAATATGTCTCCAAGTTCTACCTAGGGGGCCTAACCCTGAGCATGCAGGCCAAGCAAAACACCTTGCAAGTGCAAGCTGTGTAATTATTGAAATCATTCAAAGATACACACAGGCGTCAGCTGTGGTATTCACAACTGCTGTTGTCATTGGGACCCAGTGATTAGTCCTTCCAGGTATAAATCACAGTTTATCAGAGTGGCGTGTGCCTGCTGCACCTGACACGTTCCCCTCACTCAGCTAAATATAGCCAACCAATCAGAGGCCATCTATAGGTCCTCTGAAAACACCACGACAGATGGTGTATTAATGGTTAATCAGATTGTGGGTTTATTCAATGCTTTTCCTCAGGGTAGGGTTGCCCTGGTAACATAACTCCGTAAGTATAATGGACAATGCCAGGGCCTTACTTAATGGCCTTAAGATGCTTGTTACTGGACAAATGGTGTCCTGTCCCCCTCATCAAAATGTACCTGTGGTCAAGCTTGGGTCATACTTTCAGGGTTCTTAATGATACCCTTACACAATCAGAGTGGACACCCCACTTGTATTGTATAACCTTGTAGTTTTGCCTGATCTTATCAACCCTTGTCAATTCCATCTGCGTGTCAAAGATAGTGTCCTAGCACACAAATGTAGGGACCTAATGAGGCACCATCTGCTCTGCTGTCATAGCAATAGGTGGAAAAGACCAAAGTATAGTTCTCTGTTGTGAATACATACCAACTGTGGCCTGATCTCCCAACTCCGACACATGCCTGGCATGCTACTGTCATGTCACCCATGATTCCTGCTGCTGCTGCTGTTGCTGCTTCTGCTGTAATTGTGGATTTTGTTGGTGCCAAATGTGTAGCAAACATCTGTGTATGTAGGCATCTAGCTGCTGCTGGTATTGTACTATCATGCAACTGTGGCACAGTTACTGTAGCTGTTCATGTTCTGGTCATGTCACCTGGAAACCAGAAAATTGTCACAAATTTAATAAGCCTATATCATATTTGATGGCAGTAAAAGAACATAAATAATTAGTTGTCATCCTTTGTCATAACAATTTTTGTTCTAATATATTTTCATTTTGTTAATGTAGTTAATGGAAAATATGAAAAACCTTGTTTTCAGTCTTTGTTGCTCAAGCTTCTTTCCATTTTTTTTTAAATAAAATACTGTCTCAGAGATTGTTTTGAGGACCTTAGTCATTATTAATTTAACCATGTTATTATTCTTGTATAGACATTACCAAAATTTTCTGACTTATTTAGTAGCAGTTTTTTATGTCTAGACTTCTTTAAATATTTTACAACTAGAGCAGTTTATCTAGCTACCAGTACAAAGGCTATCTAAAATGTGCATAATACTGGTACAAGCAAAATTAGATGATGAAAAAACATCTTCTCGAAGCCAATGCTTATTTTCATCTGTCCCCAACAGACGTACACAGCCGAACTATTTGAAAAGTACATTTGGGGTTTTAAACCAAATCATGAACCAAACAGTTAATACTGACATCAAAACAAAAATATAGTAGCATGATGTGATGCAGTTAGTTGGCAACTTCTCCAAGGTTACTGTGTACATACTAAATAACATTCACATTTCACAGAAGAGATTAAAGCAATTTATAGAAGAGGAAGTTATTTTGCTTATTTGGATGTCCACTGAATAAATTAGTTTCAGGGCTAATTCTTTCCTGTATACCAGATATTTCCCAGGTGTATTGTTATGAATAAACTTCTAGAATCAAAACACTCCCAAAACATTATCATAGCACACTGCAAGTATGTTAAATAGATATTACAAATACCATGTAACCTCTTTTTCATCATTTACCCTGATAAGAAATTGGGGAGACTGCCTGAAACTATAACAAGCACCTGCCTAAATATAATCAGAATGCATTTTCCTAATCAAATATTGCCATAGTTATAATTAGATAATGAACATTATAGCTTACCCTAGACTGTGCTCAAAAGCAAATTAATTCATATATTTGTGGATGATAAGGAAAAACATGTTTAAAGCCATTCAAGTGGTACATGCTATTAAAACTGACAACCATCAATCATAGACATACAATACTCAGAATATTCTTGAATTGGTTGATTTACGCTTATACACATTTACTGTATTTTCATTAAAACAACAACAGCTCTTTCATGATTAAAACTTTTAATTTAGAGTATGGCATGATCTATAGACCAAAAGTTGATAATAAAGCATGGAATCTAAAGATATACATTTCTTGTGGGCTTATGATTTTAAAAATTATTTAAATAACCTAAATTACTCAGATATAGGATTTAACAGAATCATATGCCACTTGTAACTTATTGTGCAGCTACGGGCTGCTATTTTTATGATAAAATTTATGCATTTACACTTATTTGCAATGCAGGACTATATAACTTTTGAAAAATACATGCATTTCCATTTTCTTCCTACCAATTTGTTCAATAAATGTCAAGGTTGGGCTCAGTAATTAGTGTCACGTGTCCTTGCCCTATTAATGTGCCTTGGTTCTCAAAGACAGGTGGAATGATGGTTATTTGTAACACCTTGTACCCAGTGGTCAATAGGCGCCAGTGTGGCCTCTAACCACTGGCTACCATGTGATGACCAGCTGTCAATTATTAATTATCCAGAATTCAACATGACAAGATTTATTTGGGTTAATGGCAATTAATACCAGAAAGACTGGAGACCCAAAGTGCTACACCCTTCCCAAAAGGTACCCTCCGTAATGCACGGAATGTACCAATATCACTGCCACTGATTTTCCCAAACAAGACTATTTTTTGTCATTCCGTTTTTTAAAAAATATTTTTTACTCATTTTTTTATTCAAGACCCAGCATGTGGAGAGAGGGTTTCTCTCTGTGCTATTTACCTGGAGCTCTACAACATGTACGGTAACCACTATAAACAAGAGTCAGATTGCTAGGAAAAAATAAAAAAACAGTGGATTAATTGTTCCCAGTGTTATGTGTATAGACTGAACTCAGCTGAACACTGTCTGGAGGCTAACTCTGCCAAGTGTTCTTGTATTACAAGGAGGGTACAGAAAGCACAGACGGGCATAGTGGGTGGGTGACATTCAAGGCCAGGGGTTACGGCAGGGCAGGAATTAGGGCAATGCAGGGTTTGGGTGAATAAAACTAACCATTTAAAAGGCCATGGGAAAATACTGGGAAAATCATGTGAAATGGTCAATTGAAACTGAAGAGATTGCCAAACTAAAACGGTTCATTTAATGGATGCGTTAATGCTTTAACTTGATTGTTAATGTGATGATCCTGTCAGATATCAGTGTGCCAAAATGAAAACTTTCTGCTATAATTGTAGGGAACCAGAGAATCAGAAGAAGACAAGGGGACCATTCCCAGACCCTATCATACTAATTGTGGATCGATCTATCTCCAAGGGGATTCTCGCTAAATTACAATAAACTTAAGCAGCTTAGATGTCTGTCACGCCTGCTGAAGCTGTTAGGAGGTAATTAACTATTGATTAGCAGCTTCAGTAGGTGTGCAAGACATCTAAGCTGCTTAAGCTGAAAGTAATTTAGCAAGAAACCCCTTGGAGATGGATTGATCCTGTTAGATCAATCTAGGTATGGGATCCCAGTCAAGGACTTGCAGCATGAAAGAACACAGTATTTGGCATGCTGAACACCATGGCCAATTGTCTTTTAAAGCATGGAGATTGAATACTGGAAAATTTGAAAATATGTATTTCTTGTCAAACAATCTCATATCTATTTAAAACAAAACTAACCTTCTAACTGGTATAAACAATTTCTAATGACTTCACTTAGTTTTATCCTTGGAAAGACGGGTACTAAAATTGGACAAACAGGAATAAACACCTGGATATCAATTTTAACACTTATATCTTAAAGATTTTGCAAACTTAACAATCACTGAACATTGCTCAGCTACTTTAAGCATGCATTTGTTTAAATCATGCATTGACCCAAAACTTGTTTTTTTAATGCTCATTTGTTTTTCCAGCTGAATATTTACTAGAATTATCCTGTCACAAAAATCTTTTTTATCATATTCATCTATCTTTATCTGTACTTCATATTTTTGTTTCTAATTTATCCAAACTAGCTGCAAAAAAAAAAAAATAAATAAAAAAAAAGACCTACTAACTGAAACAATAAATAAATAAATAAATAAATAAATAAATAAATAAATAAATAAATAAATCCTTTTGCACTTAAATTTCCTTTTTTCAGTGGTCCCAAAATGATAAAGAATAGAAAGTTATGCACAAACTGATAGACTGCCAAATTACTGTTTACTTTCACTACTTAAAATCATTGCCATCTTTAACACTCAGAGAGCACTTCTTTTCGCTATTACTCATCTCCCCTCTGTTTATTAAAGCAATCATAGGCCACTGGGAGTCTCTCTGCCGAGACAATGTTTGCCATTACCAATTAAGAAAGCGCATTGGCATAATAATAATAACCAAATGAAAATGAATGATACATCTTCAAAATTGAATCATATTTGTGACAAGACGCTGTGGTAGTAAATATATCAACTCATAGTGACACTCCACTGATAATGCTTCAGCACAATCAGAAGTTAACAACCGCTTCCAATGATGGATGGACTGTCTGATGACTCATTCACAATTGTTTTTGTGACTGTGTGCATGAGGATTCTGGTAGTATTGTCTGTTGACAAGCTGTCAATGGTCCTGTTCACATTGGTCATAATCAAGATAAACTTTGACTGATTGCAATCAATTCTGACTGACAGAAAGGCACCTGGTATAACACCTACAGTAGAAAGCTCAAACTGAACATCTATAAGGATGCCATATCATGTTAACTTACTGGGAGCAGGTTCCTTCAAGCTGACAGTCTTCTAAAATCATAAAAACAGACCATCCACTTTACATGGTAAAAGTGTCTTTCAAGCAAGTTTTAAACATCACAACCCTGCCCTTGCCAATTGAACAAATGCATTGTTAGCAAACTAAACTAATTCTACTCCAGTTAAAAACTGAAAAAAAAGTTCCTTGAGCAAAGTATCACTGGTCTAGTTAAAAGATACTAATTGGCTAACAACACATTTGCAGCAACAAGAAGCCAACACAGATTCTCTCTTCAAACTTTTTTTAACTTTGTTAAGTGGAAACATGGCCATGGGTGACTTATGCCTAACTATGGTCACTAAGCTGATCTCATAGTATTGACACATTATTGCCTGGTGGAATTATTAATAAATACCTTAAACAAAATCAGTTGTCTAGCCAACTGAGGATTGATTACGAGTTATTGTTTTATTGATTGTGTCTGGATGCAGTATTGCACCGCTGATACAACAAGGCTCCATAACAATATGTCACTAAGAATCAAACACATTTCTACCAGCGATGCCAACTCTAACGATACACAATGAAATGCTCTATGCAGATAATGGCTGTTCATCAATGTTCTTTTTTCAAAATCATTTATAGGGCTGTTTGAATTTCACACAAATTATCAAATTTATTTTTCTAAGGCTTATTTTTTATCATTTTTTAGCCCCAATTAAATGTTCAAGAGTCACATGCAACTGCCAATGGCATATTGACAATGAGTTTTTAACAGACGAGTCCTTTCGGCAATATTCACCACTAATAAATTGAATTCAAGGAAATTTCTGAAGAAAACTCCTATTTGAGGAAATGGTAAGATGTACTATTTCTGAGTTAATGATGCAGCTACTTCATTCCCTGTCTCTTGATAATGAGATTTTCTAGACACAAGTTTTTGGTTACAGAAGCCTCATTCCCTATGTCTCTCCTGTTCCCCTGGGCTGACTACAGGGAAATACAGAAAATTGAATCACCTTAACTGGACTTCCTTGCCAATATTTTTGTTCTTTAACAAAGACGGTTATCATGAAAAACAAAGTTAGATTTCTGACATTTTGCCACAGTGGCATGTACAAACATGAACTTTTTATGAGCCTTCGGTTGAGCAGACAAGATGGAAGAGAACCCAGGGAAATAAAACAGGAGCCTCGAGTCCCCAGGCCTCAATAAAATCATAAAAAAGGAGAAAAAGTTCTGATTTGGTTTGTTGCTATGCATCCAGACAACTGATCATGCAACTGCCCAATCAAACATAAAATTTTGATGTCGCCAGGACAAGAAGTGCATTGTTCACGAGTGTGGACTCCCCATACTGCTATTGCTCTGCAGGCACCCAGAATCCCTTGTGATATGTCTTGGCAATAAGACCTCATATGACTTGAGTAAATCTTTCAGGTGATTCAATCACCTGACTAACTCTCTTTTGTTACTGCTGTCCTCTTGAGTGACACTTTCATTTTCCTCGATGAATCCAGGGAGTGAAATGGGAAATGTTACTTTTCATCAAGAGCAAATGAAAACATGAGTACATTTCTCAGAAAAGCTCAAGGCCTAGGTGAGACTTTTTCATTATCTCTCTGTCACAGATCTCAAAGAAAACAACATTGGGTGCTTTTGAGTTCATACCACCACAATAATTAGTGAGAAAAAGTATGCTGTGGTTCATCTGTGTCTTCAAAGCAGATAATGTGTGTGTGTGTGTGTGCGCACGAGTGCATGCGTGCATGCGTGCGTGTGTGTGTGTAGGTAGGTGGGTGTGCATTTTATGTATTTTAAAGCCTGACTTAATCATAAAATATGCACAAAGTACCTGAGCAGCAAATTGGATACATTGTAGATTTAAAAAAGCTTTGTAGTCATCTAGAAGGTGGTAGTATAGTTGCTCCAATGGAGATAACAGCTTACATCTCTTAATACTATATAGGTGCAGTAGGTGATACTCTCATTAGACAGCCTCTACATAAAAGCTTAAACATTTTACCAAAAAATATTCAAAATCCATTAAGTGTGAACTGATAATCTTTAAGCTGCATAGATCTTAAATCAAAAAGCATTTATGTGCCTCAGAGAAAATTTGTCAGATCTGTTATTAAAGTATATACAATGCTCTGATGAAATGGTTAGAAATGAGAGATGTTCAATTATTTAAGAATGTTATTTTTTTCAAAAATATCTGTCAAATGGAAATTATAGACATGTGCAACATGTTAATCAAATTTCAAGGGATATTACATATATAGGGATTATATTGGGTAAATGGGTTAAAACAAAACGAAAAATATGTACAATAGCAACATTTCCATAAAACAGTTTCATAACTGATAAGTGAGTAATTTTAGTGAAAAATTTTAACCCATTCAACTCAAACATATACATACACATACACTCACATGGAGAGAGAAGAAGATGGAGAAACCTCCATCATAACCTCCTGCTTGTGTTATGCAACATCACCTGGTATTAATGACTTAGGAAACAAAATTAAACACAAATGGCAACAATAACATGTCAATCAAAGCCAGGACATCCAAAGAAAAAGGCAGCTTGTAAAAACACTCAAGCTCTCCTTCGTAATTTACCTCACTATGGTCCACTGGTGGTTTCTGTCAAACCAATCAAGAAAACTAATGAACTAAGATGTTAGGTAACCCACCTCACCACTTCCCCTTATTATCCCCACCAGACTCCTAATTGCCAAGTAAACAATACCTGGATTAACTCTTGCAGTAGGCAGGCAGTTACCACTGAGAACACACAATCTCAGAGACATCAGATTACTTGCATTGAGTATTTTGTATGGGAGGAGAACTTCACCCAATGAAAAGGGTGAAGTTGATTACTGTGTCAAATGAAAGCGACTTAAAACAAACAGCAACAACTTGTCAGAAAAGATGTACAAAGATTTGGAAGATCAAAGTTGTTTCATATCTACTTGGCAAGGGTGCCATTCTCATCATCCTACTGACTATTTTCTTATTCCAGGAAAGGTTGATGATTTATCACTGTTTAGGTGTTAATATCATTTGTTTTATTTTTCCACTTTAAGGTTATATAGCCTGTTAGTCAAAACCAGGCCAAAATGACTTTATATAAAACTGGTTGTTATAATAGTATCTTCAAATGTTCATAGATATTTGTCCTCAGAAAAAGTATGATGATTTTCCTGATGACATTATATCAGAGATTTTAGGATGAAACAGCTATTTTCAGTTTTTTGATGTTTTCTACTACCTAGCTTGCATAAAAAAAATCACCAAATAGGAGCTAAGCATCAATACTATAGGAAGTGCAACTGATCTGTTTAGATTTCATCACTAATAATTTTAAGTCACTCCAATTTGCAATGGACCTTTGTGAACAAGATGACCTATCGAAGATGCCCTCATTATGAAAAGAAAGCTTTGTCTGTGCACAGAAATGTCTTCATGTGAATACAATCCCTCTTTNTGGGAAGGAAGATTTTGTGTTCTTTGAGGACGATGAAAATTTTGATTGGGAGAGTATTTTAAACAGTAGCTTTGAAGATGATTCTGAAGGAGAGGAGGATGAGATCATACCACCACCAACAAAGAAAGCGAGTGAGTATTAAATAAAGAATAGAGATTCATGTATATTTAAAAATCTTAACCACATATACAGTACCTTTGCACATTTAAGTATATGTACATTTGTGGTTTTACCAGTTTTGTTTCTAACATAAACAAATGTTTGTGTATCAGTATTAGATATTGGTATTATTCTTTTCCTAATTTTTATACTGATTATCTTTAGAGAATATTTCCCGTAGAAAACCAATGCCAGCAGTGGGGCGTGCTTCAGCATTGTCCCGAGAGAAGTTGACCCAGAATATTTTGATGCTTCTACTCACTGCAATTGATGTAGTTTTGGGGGACAGCATTTATTCATTATCTGAGGATGGTTTGAATGCACTAGAAATCCTGAAAGTCACTCACTCAAGATTGTCAGAGGTTCCTAAATGGCTTGAGACTTTTATTTGGGATGCTTTGACTTCTGGGGACAAAAAAAACCTCCCAAGTGCACAGGTGGAAGGCATGTGGTCACAGTTTCACTTACTCAGGACACAATCCGAGTTTACTAAAAAGGGAATTACATTTTTGGCTGAAATCACTGGTCTGCATTATTGCTCATTTGCCTTCAAGCAAACATTTCATACCTTAGTGACTGCACTTTTTAAAGAGACTGTTAAGTACAGAGATTCTATGGACACAAAACTATATTCTTCATTCGTTGACAAACCCTCAATGTCAAACTTGGAACAACAAGCATTGAGATATGTGGGAGGAGCCATGTGCCGAAAGCTATCGGATAAATGTAAAAAGAATAAGCCTCATTACAGTGACATTATTAAAACAATGATGATGGGGAAAGGCAGTCAGGCTGCTGGGTATTTGAAGAATACATGTAAGTGGGTAAATACTCTTGATAGAGGAGGCCTATTTCACATATCAGATGAGTTATTTCTGTTTTTAAGATTGCTTGAGGAGATTGTTAGCAAACAATTCTCGACACCAACCCTCATTCACTACCATCATGGCAATTTAACTTCTCCAATTTGGGATTCTGCTCTGAAAAATTCTTTACTTCTTTCTTACTGGGAGAAATTGACAACAGGTGCAACAACCAAGGTAAAAATGGACCTTATGTACATGTTCATACGTCTTTATATTACCATTAGAGGGAACTCTTTTCGAAGAAAACTCTTGGAAAAGTACCAACAGATCACAAAAACTACTCTGAAAGAAAAGGGGCTAAGAAAATCTCTTAAGAATAAATCATCTTCAAAATGAGTCAAATTGGATTTATTTTGGATCCTAGGTTGAAGACAGACCAGAGAGTCCAGCTCCATCTCCGATTAACAAGCTCACTTCAGCTTAACAAGCTCACAACAGTGCTCCTATTAGATGGGGACGAGAACATGAAAAGGACGCCCTCACCCGATATCAACAATTGTACACTGATCAGAACCACAATGATATCAGCATCAACAGCTCTGGCCTCAGATTGGACACTAAGCAGCCATGGCTTGGGGTATCGCCAGATGCTATTGTAAAATGCACTTCTTGTTGTGGTGAAGGCACTGTAGAAGTGAAGTGCCCTTTTGCAAATATAAGAACATTTCCGTAAGAATTGCCCCCCTGATTACCTGGATGAAAACTTTTATTTGAAACAGAATCACAAATATTATGCACAGGTCCAGCTCCAGATGCTAATTTGCAATGTGAATTTTTGTGACTTCGTGGTATGGTCTCCCAAAGATTGTACTGTTTCTAGAGTCCTGAGAAGTGACCGGTTTTGTAAAGAAATGGTGACTGTCCTTACCGAGTTCTGGGAGAGGCATGTGTAGCCGGAATTGGTTAGTAGAAAGGTGGAGCTACGGGAGGTTTGCCCTGTTGTTGAGGCTGCTGCAGCAGTAAAAGCCCCAATTTACTGTGTATACAAAACAGCATCTGAGGAGGGTGATATGGTAGGGTGTGACAGATGTGACCAGTGGTATCACCCCAAATGATTAGGGCTGAAGGGGCTGCCAAAGAGCAAGAGGTGGTTCTGTAAAAAATTGCAGCAAGAAGAGTTTTTAAGAATTTCCAGTAATGTAGATTCCCATGCTCTATTATTTTGGAAATTGCTTGGTTTATGTATTGAACTGTTAACAGCATGGTTCTTAATGCCGAGATAAGATCTGCTCTCTGTCAAGTGTCATGTCACATTGTATCTGTACTGCTTGTTTAATTGTATTGTCACATTTTATGGATAGCACTGAGTACTATTGCTATTTTTTTCGAACATGAGCATAACTGCACCAAAAACCACTATGGTAGCAGCAACGCCATAGAAAAGCAAAGTGCAGTTACTCTTTTTCACGATTGCTGGCTTGCCACAACATGCATTAAACCACCTTTCTTGTGGACAAGGCTAAAAAAATTACGCTCTCTAATGCGCTAAAGATGGACAAATTGAAATATTATGAGGGAGAAAGCTATAAGTCTGGAGCATTTGGAGGTACAAAGATTAATAGCCTGCAAAATGCTTCATTTGCAGAGAACCAATAAAAGACCATAAGCATCAACTATATATATATATATATATATATATATATATATATATATATATATATATATATATATAAAGCTTAAACAATGACTGTTTTCAATAACAATCATTTAGTTTATTTGTTCATTATATTCCAATTTTACATTTGTAAAAAGAATGAAAGAAAGAAAGATAATGTAATGTTTCACGGTGTCAACAATATCATCGAAATATTGCAACATATTAGGCCGTCTACAGACCACACTGCTTACTCGTCAATAAAGGACATTTTTATGCATAATGTTGTCTACATTAGTGCACACATTGCTTCAATCATGGCCATCATGAACACTGATGATGAAGTTAACAAAGATGTAATATAAAGACTATGATAAACG